CGGCAAAATGTGTGCAGTACCCGCGGAGTGGCAGGGTGTCCTGGAGAATAAGGAGAGACAGAGTAGAAGTGTCTGGGGGTGTTTACGGGATCGGGAGGAGGACCCGAGTCCCGGACCAGCGCGGAAATTCAAAACTCAAAACTCGGAAGGAGCACGTCATTTGATGCCCCGGCTCTGGGAAGGGCTGCTAAAACCCAGGAGGAAAGACACCGTGCAATTAAAATTACACTGCATTAGTAAATAGCATCGCAGTAAGACTGGGCTCGACACATAGCCAGTTTATTCCTTCAGCAAAATCCTGATCCTTATTATGTTTGATAATAGCATAAAGCAGGAAGGGTGATTTACTCTTCTAGCTTTTCTTAATAATGAACGGCCCTGCAAACGTCTCCAATCAGCCCATTTCCTGCTTGCTGCTGGAAATAGTTTTTTAAAGACTTGGAAGATGATAACCCTAGTTTTAAATGTCAGGCTTTTTATATTTGAGGCTAGCTGCATGGCTAACGTAACCATGTAGTCATAGACACATTGCTGTTTCTCTTTTCAATTTTCCTTACAACATTTTAGACCAAAATATAAGCTTTTCCTCCTCAATCTTTTATTTATAAGAATTTCAGTATAGCTACTTGGATTATGGAATTCGAGAACGAAATTATAAGCTATGTACAAATAATGGCTATGTATTCATCTCCGCTCGCAGCTGCACATCCTCGCCTGTCTGCAGCTACATGTGCAACCGTTTTAATGGTAACGCGTCTTCCACTCAGGCTCATTTCCCTCAGTTTGACTTAATTCCTAAATGTTCTGAACACTGATCCCCGAGGTTTTCAGTGCCCTGAGCCCCCTCGCCCGCTGTTTGATAGGTTAACTTTTCAGCATCTCAGACAATGGTCCCGGCCTGTAAATTCTACCCACTGGTTCCAGAACGCAATTCTGAGCCTTGGCTTTACAAGCGCTGTCTTAATCTCCCCACCCCCCACCCGCCGCTTCCCCTGTGGTCTGCTTTTTTCATACACAGAGATGAATTACTTCGAGGATCTAATTGGCCTTGTTTCTGTAACGTTTTAAGAAAGGGAAGAGGAGCCAGTGTAAAAGCCTGCTCGACTTGGGTGGTCAGGGCTGAGGCTGCCCCCAATTTGCCTCATTGCTGATGCATGCGAGTGCGACATTCCCAGCGATAATGTTGTTCCTAATCAATCTGCCCTTATTTACATTTGTAAGCATTGTTGGGTTTAATATGCATGCCCTGTGCAGGGGACCGCCACACCACACCGGGGCTTGTTAACTTCAGCTAACCACAAGGATTCCATAGACCTGATATGGGGCTCATGGAAGAGCCAGGCCTGCTAAGGTGTCTGCTGGGAAGAAAGTCCCTTTAATGGCCTTTCTGGGCTTAGCTCTTCTTGTGAGTTACCAGATAAGTGAGAGCATGAGGCCTCATCAACCACCAGGAGTTGCTAGTCTATATGAAACAAGAGCTGATTTTTCCATTTCCCCTTTCCTCTTAAAGTTGCATAAATTGTCTTTTTTTTTTTTTTTTTTCTTTCTTTCTTTCTGTCAGGATCCAAGTCTTCATTGGAGCCTATCGTTTTCAAAATAGATTCCTTAAACTCTCTGGCTTCCCTTTGTTCCAATACTCCAAATACCCATGGCCACACCACACACATCTCCAGAATGACATCTGATTATCCAAATGATAAGATGACATTGAAATAAAACATCTGCCCTTTGTGTTTGGATGTTCTGATGATAAGCGCTTGTGGGAGCCAGACTTGGTGGGGTTTTGAAAAACCACAGGGAGATTTAACTTTTCACTGGCTTCGCAGACCAAACTAAATGAGTCTTTAAGATCCAATGTAATTTAGCTAATTTTTGCAATGTGTAAATGAATAAAGGGGTAAATGTATTCTAGTAATTTGACCCTTGGGCCATGTTCTAATTGTGTCTGCTGAGTTTAATACTCCCTTCCAGAAATGCAAACAATTGCAAACATTACATCAAGTCTCACAGTATTCCTGTTGAGAGGGTGGATGGAGAGAAGAATTGGGGAATTGAAGTAATATTCTATTTATGAATGGGAGTCCAGGGTACAGGATGTGAGTGATGGGCCAGGGCCTGAGCAGTTCAAAGCAGATACCTTGGGTAAGAGTTGAGTCTTAACTCAAGCCAGTATGCCACCATCCACCACACTTTCTTGGTGCCCTAAGAATGCCTTATTATTTTCTCACTGGCAGCTTTTGTATTTACTTAAAAGGTGATAGTAGAAAATGAGTCTAAAAGGTTTCAGGGGGGAGGAAAAAACAGATTCAGTAGCCACAGGATATAAAACCCTTGGGCTTGACTCCCCTCCCCTTCTCCTTTCCTCCTTCTGTCTCCTCCCCTTAGCCCCCCCTCCCCAGGACTGGAGGAAAGGGAACAGCTCAAGCCAACTTGTCAAAATAATGCTGCTAATTATCCCTGATCTCCTTTAATGGGAAGCTGCTCCCAACTCCACAAAGGAGTAAATGAGAGCACTGGCATTTTTTGAGTTTACAGTGAGCTTGAGGTGGGGGGTGGGGGACATCCTGAGAAGGTCCCAGAAATCTCCACATTTATTACTCCAGGTTCACACAGTAGCTTGAAAGAGAAATTAGACTTTTTACAGTACCAAAAGCTATGGTATTGTCTTGCAAGGAATATCACCAACTGCAGAGAGAATATTCATAGCCTACAAGGAACTTGAAAGAAATTGGCCCTTGTATTGATTTTTTCCTTTTCTCTAAGTATCTGCTTAGCCACACTGCTTTACTCTGATGGATAGAGATGTGTTCTGTAAAGACTCAGACTGAACATTTTTTTCCTCCATCTCTTTCTCACCTCATCTCTATCTCCCTGTCTAATACATCTATATCAAGCTTTGCATTTGGCAGAAGGCACATCATTCATTTCAGTGATCTCTGCCATTGGGTCTTGCATGAAAAAGAAGCTGAGCAACATGATCCCTTTGACCCACTGCTGGAGCAACAAATTTATTAGAGATATAGGCATGAGAAATGAAAGGGAAGTAAAACAATTCCAGCTTATTGTGTGTCTTTCTTTCATACTGCTAATCCGGTTTACACATCACGCCTACATGTCTCAATAGGGCTTTATATACTGTGGCAGAGGCGGGAGAAAATAAAAGGTGTGTGTGTGAGGGAGAAGGATAAAAACTGGAAAGACAGATATTTTAATCAATATTGATATGCCTCACCAGTTTTTCTGTTTGTAGAAAGTTGAAGACAATTTGTAAAACAGCCTTTTTCCTTTTCATAAAATAATTCCATTTGATGCTAACTCCTGTTCAGGAGCTTGTCAGATTATGACTAGCTTATAACCAGAAATTAGATACACCTCTCACTGTGAGTTTGAAATGAAGCTAATACCCTAAATTGAGAATAGGCATATTAGATGACGGGCCTATTGGTGTCCACCTTGATCCAACATTTTAATTTAAAAAGACCATAGACTCAAAGGCTTTTATAGCCTTGGATGGAAGCTGGATGACAATTGGAACACCCACAAACTCAGAGCTGAAAGCCCCTTGTTTTACAACATGAGTACACAATGCACCTGAGGCAAATAATTTATCCTGAGGTGCCACCCAGAAATAGTAAGTTACAGTAACAAAGGATGACACCAAAAAGCATTGTCTTTCTTTGTGGAGGCAATTAATTGCATGTTGAACTACTGGAGCCAAAAAAAAATTTTTTTTTTGAACACGCACAGAATGATGAAAAAGGACTATTGTGGTTTAAGACCTCAGTTACCCAATTATATATTAGAGCCACCATTGTGGGTCTTTATTATTTGTGTCTAGTTCTTTTCTATTTCCCCTCCCCAGGGAGGAAGGAAGGATAAAAAGGGAGGAAGATGGTCTTCTCTCCTAGGTCTAGGAAAATAGAGGTCTCTGGGTGGCTTCTATAGACAACAATCTATATGGTTCTTCTTAGGTGATGGAAAGAAATTAAGACCAGAACACTTTGAACTTATTGCTTACCCACATACTAGGTATCATTTATTACATGAATTTAAAAGCACAGAGACATGGCCTATGTCACCCCAGAGGTTTGGTCGGTGAGCGTCCTGGGGACGTGGGACTATGTCTATAGGGATTTGAAACAGTTGGGCTCTCCTGAGGTCGCACTCACAGCCCTCTGAGCACTGGGCCAACCACCCACCTCTTTAATGGGTGGTAGGCACGAGAATGCCCGAATCTGTGGGTGCAAGAATCAACAGATACCTCTCCTCGACCCCTGCCCCTTCCTGAGCTCAGAAAGCCCCATTGGCCCTTTTTTGCCACCAGCGGAGAGGGAGAGGGATACTAGACCTCTGGGTTTGGTAAGTTGCTTCTTCTAGCACTGGGTGTCCCACCCAACCGAGCGTCCGTGCCAGGGCGCCGAAAGCAATGGGTGTGGGTGCTAGAGGCGTGCGCCGTCATCTCCAGGTGGTGCACCACGGAGCTCCAAGGAGACGATAAAACTAGCTTCTGTGCGTGCACGCTGTGCAAGCCCATCCCCCTCCCCCTGGCGCTGTCACTCTCTCCGCACCAGCCCTTCCATCACCAGCTCTGCCTCCACTGGCGAGTCGGTAGCCACCACCAGGCTGAGGAGCGGAAGCCAAGGTGGCGACCCTTTCAAGCGTGAAAATGGGGCCGAAGCGACCCCCTCCGTGAGAATCCCCACCCTGGAGCCGTTCCCCGGCCCCGGCCGCCACAGCCAGCCCCCCTCCCCGCCCCGCGGGGCCACCCTCGGGGGCGGAGGCCCCGCAGCGAGCGAGCAAGCTCCAATACGCGGACCGGCGCTCTCG